ATATTAGACAATTATCATTTCACTTAGAATGTTGATATGTCTGTTGTTAGTATGTTCAGAAACCGTTAAGTGGTTACTGGAAACTGTAGATAACAATAAACAAACCTCCACCGACCTTTTCACTAGGTTCCAAAGGCAATGCTGAAATCATAAGTTCGCATACTCTCAGGCTCGGATAAAAAAATACAAGTGGGTCAAAATCATAACGTTGGACCTATGGCACGTGGCCTATTAGCCAGAATTTTAACATGAGGTTTCTCATTCTCTTCGGAAATATGACTCCAAACTATTGATGACAAAGGTAAATCACAGCCAGTCTTGACGTCACCATATTTTCGGGCCAAAAGGTGTACATCTAGGACGTCCCATAGCTAAAATATTGATCTTTATCAGTACTAAGGAGTCTTTGAAGCCATCGAGAGTCACACCAGATACTACTGAACAAACAGAGTTGATTAATCTATCCGCTTAATCGTTAAAGTATCCGATCCTTAGAGTAAAAACAAACAAATCAAAGTCAGTAGTTTGGTCACTCGGAAAGTATGCTATTTTTTATATAGACGACTCAAAACACCTAAATGTAACTCACAGGATCCGTAAACTAATAACTGGATCTGTGGAACTGAAATCAACGCGTGAGTGGTCTCCTACTTCAAGCAGTAAGGAAAGTTCAGGAAATGAATTTCTACATGGTCTTACTGGTGAGTAACTTCAGTGTCTCCATTTGTCCCACCATGGATCACAATTTCAAACTGATCACTGGCACTAGCTACTTGATGGAACCATTCTGCTTCTTAAAAAGTAAAGCCCACTGGACCCCTTGGAAACCAATGTGACATGCCTAGAGGATCGATCTAGATTTTTGGACCATGAATTACTATTTATTAACCCACTAGTCTTAAATCCTCTGTGACAAGGCGATCAAGACCTCATATTAGTTTGCATTGCCACAACTAGCTAACGTGGTGAATATGCCCAAACTGAGACGTCTAAAGGGCAGATTAACACAATGTCACAGCAAACTTGTAAAGATAATCTATTTGTAATATCCCATTGAGTAGAGAAATTAAATTTTTCGACGTTTCGTAATTCAATGTGAGCCATTTCCCCAAAAGAAGACTTTTGAGTAAAATGTCTGATTATTTCTCCATCATGAGCTGTGGAAGTGATTTTCAGTTATATAAAAATAATATATTTCTGCTACGGCAGGTACACGCCACTTTTACAGGCATGATCTATAATTCGCAACATTGGTTCGTATATAAGACGCTTTACAATTAGTTATTAATTAAATGAAACCAATAAAAATAAAAAGCAGTACATTCCTTAGATATCTTTTTCAAAAATGACATCCACATTTCACACCAGGTCTAAACTCGACGTTATTGTGCTAGAATTTTGATTATGTTTAGTATATATTGGCAGTGAGCTTGAACCACACAATACTCAAAGCTAAAAACGAGAAAACTGGGAAAGTGGACATTCAAAACTTAACGTGGAGAAAAACCCAACACTGGAGAAGGCGAGCTTGCAGGCGTGGTCTTACTTATGTAACACTATTTTATCCATATTAAGTACATTGTCCTATCACCAGTTTAAATATGTGGTTCATCACGGATTGATGATTGTTACAATGCGATGAGTGAGGGTAGACAATGATGCGACTTCCACATAAGATCTTATAAATTAGGTAGTTACGCCATACCAAATCTACAATTTTAAAATTAGGTCTTATTTATTATTTATTTATTTTAACACATAGGTATTGGTACAAGGAGGCACCAAGTACATATGCGCCACACAAATCTCAATTGATTTGTGTGAGGGCTGTGATACTGCTCGGGTGCCCGAACCGAAGCAGGTGGTTTTCTTGGGGGGCCACACCCCGAGCCTTTGACCTGAACGTCTGACCCACAAGGCAGTGGAGCATCGTAAGGAGATGCAGTCCCATGGTAGCCGGTGACCAACGATTGGTTCATACGCCATTTGTTCCCGCAGGATACTGGAGCCCATGTGCACCATTGGTTTGGAGTCCGGTAAAAGCGCCAGACATTCGCTTTTCGAGAAGGCAGTGAGTAGGACTTCCCTGGCAGAGGATATATACGCATGGCCATGTGAGAGCATTTCGAGAGGGAGGGCGGGCGCGCCCACCTCACTCTCGGCCGTACCAGGGCATTTGGAGGCAGAATTAGGTCTATTATTAGAGCAGTACTAATATCGAAGTAGATCATAATTCTACAGGTATTTACACAATACAACTTCTTAAGAATTTTACAGTTGTCGCAGAGTGCACCTGTGGGGCACCTGGTATGAGATGTGACCTTGAAAACGCGTACGTTAAGTTTATTTCTGGCACAAGAAGCTTTGCAGCCGTACACTTAAAGCATTGTCCTGAAAAAGAAAAACAAAGGAGCTGCAAGGCACTCTTATATAGACCCTAAATATTGCTTAGGATTTTGTGATGGAACAGACAAAGTTATGATAAATTAGTAGATAAGATTCATACTAGCTGATGTAGCTAGAGTTCAGTGTGGTTAGAGCCTTCAGATAAAAGAAAGAAGTAATAAAGTACCATCTTAATTAAATCAGATTATCTTGACCAATTTCGATCACATTTTTCTTTAAGTTAGCTTCATTTACATTTTCGTTTCACATATACACACATCTTAATCGTATAACATAATCACTGAGTTCTGATTTGATCCCTTAACAGCAGAATTCGTCGACCTCGTACAATCCGTCACAAATATTTCAGGTCCAATTTAATCTAACACTTTGGCTTCAGATTTCTGTCATATTTACTTTAAATCTGATTTCCTTTTAGATATGAATCGAGCGAACACGGCTAGTTGTTCATTGCAAGTTGAGATAATATTGTAGCTGTATTAATTACATTAACCGCTTGATTTCGCCAACTTACTTTTACAGTACGTTGAATCTTAGTTAACTTCTCCGTGGAACCTTTCACACGCTTCAATTTAATCGACTGTATTAAAGCACTTTCAAAAAGTACAATAAGAATATTTGTTATAATATTTATACTTTTCAGCTTTTCTTAACGTTAAAAAGTTGTACGTCAATAGATATGTCTTCTAAGGAATTACTTCGGAGATGCCTTTCGAGCTGTTTGTCGGCTTGTCTGCGGCCGTATCTAACAATTCAAGCTAACGGACTTCAAAAAGAAGGATTGATATAAAGTCAGTCGAAACCGTTTGGATCAGTGGGTAATCTACAGTGAGAGTTCAGTGTTATTCGAAACTTCCGACAAGTCTACACATACATTGGGGCGCAAATATCAGCAACTACGAAATAAAGGAAGTGCCGTGTCCTTGCGTCCCCTCTCACAATCATCGAAAATTAACATCAAGTCATAACATCCAACCCCGTCTAAAAATCATCGTGATCCGACTTAAAGGTTTATAACTTGGTAAGCAATCACTCACTAGGTTGATCACAAACAGTTAACTGGTCCCCAATTAGATGTGTATGCAGCTTGCAAGTTTCTGTCCAAAAGTTGACTCACAACTCCTAGACAGAGTAAGGAGGATAGCTACCCATTCATTTTCAACATTGTGGGGCTTGCCATATAAAGTGTTCTTCGAAAAATCATACATCTCCAGCTATCCATGAAATAAGTGGTTTTATGTCACTTGTGTGTACGGCGATGTCTGTTCAATTTAGGATAGATTGGTGTGACCCCGTTCAATCACGTCGAAGTCACCTCCAACAGTTGTTTTCAGCCCGGCACCTCCCATCAGGATAAACAGGTGAATCGGCTAAGCGTGTGTGCTTACGATTGTTCAAAACCAGCTGTCCTCAACCTTGGCAAGGCGTGTCAGACTGCCTAACATTTAATGATCTTTCGTCTGACGCAGAAATGATTCAGCCGGAAGTAAGGCCTCGCTAGGATTGAGTCACAGTTTACCGGCCCTACGAAACAGGTCGATTTTGATTTATAGAATAAAATACAAGGTATTAGATTTGCTGCATCCTCCCTCATTTTAATTACATCATGACTGCTTAGATGAGATAAAAAAGAAATCCCTTAGATATATACTTTCTCGTTGATCAGTCAAATATCATGGCGTACTGCTCAAGGAGATAATGTACACATCTTCACTTGAGATGACCGCAAGATCGAGCACCCACAGTAGCTTATTCGAGGAGAATTTATGAGCAACATCGGTTTTTAGTCCTCAACACAAAAATGTATTCACTTATAATTCAATTCCTCTTCTGAACCTATTCATTAGTCTAATAATTTTTTCCTTTTTAACCTTAATCAGTCAACTTCTAAGTGACATAACCCACCAACCTGAGACAAAACCATTCACAAATACTTAAAAATTGGCAATATTCAAGTAATCTTCAACTTCATTACAACCGGTGCAACTGAGTGACTAGACTATCCATATGGGATGAAACTAGAGGCCTCAAACCTTACTTTAATGACCAAATGCTAACTCAGAAATACACCGGAGATGAGGCCCAACTAGACTCCCGCCCTCAATTTTGATCTTGCACTACGCAACCAACGAAACGAAGCAGGAATTCTCATTTGCACTATCGTAATCCATAATGGTGTGTTTCGTTTATTGTCGTTTTTCGCCCGCTTATGTGGGAGACTATTGGTCTCTTTAGATGAAGCCATCACTCCATCGTGCTGCGGACGTAACAAGTTTAACGTACTCTGTCATGAGGGAAGGAAATTCACACATCGCAAATATATCTTCCATGATAGTTATGTCAGAGTACCTACAGTTCGGTGTTTGACGAAAACAAAAATGGCCGTGTTTACTAGATACGATACACTTAAATGATTCGACAACGTTTACTTTATCTCCAAGCATAAATAATTTGCGTACGTTCGTCATATAGATGTTGGATAATGTATGGCGCGTACTTCAACTTTGACTTTACAGTTTATCGTTCATATGGGAGGATCCGTTTAGTGAACGACCTTCGGGTAATCCTAAAGTGACCTCGAAAGATCTACACTAATGGTAAGGAGTAAAATTGTTATGCGCATTAACGTTGGGAATCGTCTCTAAATTTTCATCAGGCCTCGTGGATTAGTGTCGGGCAAACCCTCAGCATGTATACATAGGCATATATGCCTAGGGTGGATACAGAAAACTTTACCTGACTTTTATTAACCTGTGCCACAGGTGACGTTAACTAAGCAGTGGCTGGGAAGCGCGATTTGTAAGTATAAAACATGTCAATTGAGAGTATTTGACTGTAGGTATGTCGGAGTCTGTACGCTCTCCAAACATCCGTATATATTGTAGTACCTGGCTGCAGCCAGTGTTACTGGCGCTTTTATTGCCCAGTTCGGAATATTTGTCATAATTTGCCTTAGGAATTATATATGGGGTTTTCGTCACGAACTGACATCAGCTACAATACCAGAAATTTATTTAGCCAAGTGGATGAAAGGCTTTCGCGTTTAAATCCGAGATGTGTTATCTCATACCTGGTTGATTCGTCCACTAATTATAGTCTCGCAGTTTTATTTGTTATAGCTGCTCAATTATCACGTTTTGTACACAATTCCCTGCAAACCGATCGTACGTTAGCATTAAGCACTGGAGTTGGCGCCGTAACCTTGAAGCCTCTGAGACGCTTCTGATTGGCTCGTCCATAAATTAGTCTCGCCCAACAGCGTAGGTAGACTTATCTTTGTCTCCCGCCAGTATTATTTTCACAAATCTTGTTTCTCGAAATTAGCCACTTTCCAACTCCCGACCGTAGCTGCTACCTTGACGTGGTGGTCGGGCTTGCCTATCGTGATGACCCAACCGAGCTATATTGGCTGGAACACATGTTCCTGCAGGTTCTACCATGCCAGGCAGGTCGATTGGAGAACGGTAAGACTAAAAGCAGCAACTCAAGGTCTGAGGGCGAAGTCGTACTGCTGACTGTACAGAGGTGTGACAGCAGTAAGGTGTTTCCCTCGGACAAACAGCATTAGCAGCCATGCTGCCTTCTCACAAGGAAGGAACGAGTTAGAAAAGGTTGACCCTAAAAATGTCACACCTCACCTTACCCCACGGATTTCCGTCTCCGGCGGCAAGGCCCTTTGAAGAACAGAGCTAACACATTAAAAACCTCCCACAAAAAGGCCGTGCGCGACCGGCCTCAAGCAGTTGTCCCTTGGGCTCTGCGGTCACGCACTCAGGTCGCTAAGACCAACACTAATCCGATTTTCTTTTCAGGTTCCTCAAGAAATACCCTTCCACGGTGTGGGCAGCCGGGAAGTGACATCAGCCCTCATACCCGTAACAGCACACGAGACCAAGTTGGTCACATTCAAATCCTTCCTACACCTCCTAATAACTCTCTTATCTCCACGACTAACCCTTCTCACGTCCCTTTATCACCTCGCCCCGCTAGTGCGAACGATTCGAGTACGCGGAATGTTATTCCTGGTCTCCTGAAACCACGCTCCAAACTACACGTAGGAGCTTTCAACGTCCGAACACTGTGCCAAATAGGACAACAGGCTTCCTTAGCTAAGACTTTAGAATCTCGCTCCATCGATGTGTGCTGCGTCTCCGAAACGCGCACACAGGATCCTAGTAGTGTCATTCATTTGACCGCACCATGTCAAAGTAACGAACCAACTGGATTTACGCTTCGTGTATCTGGAAGCCCTGATGCTGCTTCCCGGGGCCTCGCTGGCGTAGGTATAGCATTGAGTTCTAGGGCAGTACTAGCTCTCTTAGACTGGATCCCACTAGACAGTCGTTTGTGTGCTGTCCGACTAAACGGAACAGTAAGGACTCGACGTTGCAGCTGACTGACTGACTGAAGGACTCGAAAAGATAGGGACACTCGTCACTGCCTCTTCGTCGTCTCTGCTTACTCTCCCACTGACTGCAGCTCAGATGATGTAAAAGATGAGTTTTACAGAAAGCTTTCCGACCTCCGAAAAGCTAGGCGTTCAGATGTAGTAATAGTGGTTGGGGACTTTAATGCTCAAGTAGGTAAACTAAGCGAAAAGGAAAGACACCCGGGTGGATCTTATGGTGTCGCGGCTCAAAGAACAGATAACGGCGACCGTCTGTTGCAGCTATGCTCAGATAACCGCCTGTTTCTTGCAAACACTAACTTTAAGCATAAGGAAAAACATCTTTTAACATGGCGACCCCCTAATTCGTCTCAACGCTGGACCCAAATTTATTTATTTATTTTATTTTAACACATAAGTATAGGTACAGGGAGGCACCAAATACATATGCGCCACACAAATCTCAATTGATTTGTGTGAGGGCTGTGATACTGCTCGGGTGCCCAAACCGAAGCAGGTGGTTTTCTTAGGGGACCACACTCCGAGCCTTTGACCTGAACGTCTGACCCACAAGGCAGTGGAGCATCGTAAGGAGATGCAGTCCCATGGTAGCCGGTGACCAACGATTGGTTCATACGCCATTTGTTCCCGCAGGATACTGGAGCCCATGTGCACCATTGGTTTGGGGTCCGGTAATGCGCCAGACATTCGCTTTTCGTCCTCTCATTTTTGTAAACAACACCCCCGCCACGAGAAGGCAGTGAGTAGGACTTCCCTGGCAGAGGCTATATACGCATGGCCATGTGAGAGCATTTCGAGAGGGAGGGCGGGCGCGCCCACCCCACTCTCGGCCGTACCAGGGCATTTGGCGGCCTGGACCCAAATAGATCACATCGCTATCAGCCACCGATGGAGGGGCTCGATAGAAGACTGTCGCTCATTCTGGAGCACATGCTTAGACTCAGATCATGCTCTAATGCGAGCGCGTATTTGTCCATGTCTTGCTGGACGTAGAAAACATACTGCAAGGAAACCCCTTAGGGTCCTACTAAATGATAGTCAAGCTAAGAGTATATTTCAGGAACATCTAGAAAAACAGTTAGACAGCCATGTAAGTGATGCCCACCCCGAGGCAGCGTGGAATGACATCCGAAAAGCTGTAGAAACAGCAGTGATGTCTGCAAGTACGGTAAACCATAAGGTTAAGGAGAAACACTGGATCTCAGCAGCATCTACCGCACTGATAGATGCTCGAAAACGCATTCCATCTGGCTCTGAACATAACGAAGAGCGGAGTCAGCTTAAGTGTAAACTGACTAGAAGCCTACGCAAAGATCGTGAACAGTGGTGGGTAGCGAAAGCAAGAGAGATGGAAAAGGCAGCGGTAATAGGTAATAGCAGGCAACTGTTCAGACTTGTTAAGGAAACCGGTATTAGGAACCCAACTGTTAGCGAAACAATCGCAGAGAAAGATGGACATATTATTCATTCTCAATCCAGGAGATTGGATCGATGGGCAGAATACTTTAGGGATCAGTTCAACTGACCTTCAGCCACACTTCGGTTTCCCACGATCTCCAGTCGACCTGAATGGCAAGTTGATGTAAGTCCTCCGACTCTTTACGAATTTGAAAAAGCTATAGGAAATCTGAAGCGTGGGAGAGCAGCAGGCCCTGACAGGTTTACCCCTGAGATTTTTAAGGATGGCGGTCCAGTATTAGCAGCGAGATTGACTAAGGTCTTAGGTAGAATCTGGGAACTGGACGTAATCCCATCTGACCGGTCTCAATCACTGATTGTACCAGTCTATAAGAAAGGACAAAAGTCCTCCTGTGACAATCACAGAGGAATTAGTTTGACTAATATAGTGTCTAAAATATTAGCTTCAATAATACTTCGACGTCTAACCAAAGCTCATGAAGAGCTGACTAGAGAAAACCAGGCTGGTTTTAGACCTGGAGGTGGTTGTATTGATCAAATATTTACATTACGTCAGGTCCTAGAACATAGACACACATTCAGTCGCCCCACAATGGTAGTATTTCTCGACCTTAAGGCGGCATTTGACTCTGTTGATCGTGAGGTTCTATGGCAGTGTTTGTCACTGAAGGGAGTACCAAAGAAGTACATCAACCTTATAAAGGCTCTCTACTCGAACACAACTGGTCGAGTGAGAGCTTATGGCGAACTGTCATCAGAACTGATTGCCTCAAGTGGTGTTCGTCAGGGCTGTCCGCTCTCTCCATTCTTGTTTAACTTTGTCGTTGACGTCCTTTTAGAGATGACACTTTCCTCATCTAAATTTCCAGGAGTTGAACTTCTACCGGGAGATCCACTTGTTGACTTAGAATATGCCGATGACATAGTTCTATTTAGTGAAGACGCTGACAGAATGCAGAGTCTGCTGACCACTCTAAGCAACAATGCAAGCATGTTCGGCATGCGATTTTCTCCCTCGAAATGCAAAATGTTGCTTCAGGATTGGGTTGCGTCGACACCCGAACTAGTGATAGGGAGTGAAGTAGTTGAGCGTGTCGACCGCTTCACTTATCTCGGAAGTCTCATCAGCCCTTGTGGTTTGGTGTGTGACGAAATCTCAGCACGGATACAAAAGGCTCGACTAGCTTTTGCCAACTTGCGTCATTTGTGGCGTAGGCGAGATATCCGTCTATCAACCAAAGGACGTGTTTACTGCGCAGCAGTTCGTTCCGTCCTACTTTATGGCAGTGAAACATGGCCAGTAAGAGTAGAGGATATTCGTAGGTTACTAGTATTTGATCATAGGTGTCTTCGAAACATTGCTCGTATATCCTGGGACCACCGAGTAAGTAATGCAGTTGTTAGGAAACGGGTACTAGGTAAGGATGGAAAATCAGTTGCTAATGTAGTGAAACTTAATCAGTTGAGATGGCTGGGACATGTGTTGCGTATGCCCGACCACCGACTGCCCCGACGTGCGATGTTTTATGGTGTAGGAGTAGGTTGGAAGAAAGCTAGGGGCGGCCAGACCAAAACATGGCAGAAATCCATGAAGTCACTGACAAGTGGACTTAGTCATGTTGGTAGGTGTAGACTACCTGGTTGGGGACCGCGAGACGATAGCAACCGATGGTTAGAGACCTTGAATGACATGGCTCAAAATCGTTTGCAATGGCGCAGGTGCATCCACTCTTTGTGTTCTCTCAAATTCTAATCTTCTGAACTCCTCATGTCCCTTTTTTCTTTTTCTGAATTTATTTCACTGGATTATACTTCTTAAATAACATCTTCAAACCCTAATGTTTCCGATCGCTAATTATACTTTCACTACCTCTATCACTATGGGATTTGCATCCACTATTGTGTCTTTGTGATAATGTGGTATGACAAATCGAACCGATGTACGTACGTATGAATTCCTACGTTGTTACTGACTGATTGGGACACCCTTTTGACTAGCCTGTGGGAAACGATTTTAGTTTTCCTAGTACTAATCTGGGAGTTAGATGGATATTTCCTAGCCAGTCGACTGGCACTAGATTTGAGTAATGTTCCGTTCTCGTAGGTTCCTGGTTTAATTTATTTGCTGATAGTGGTATTAAAAAATTCTGTCACATTTAGTTTGAGAATATCTTGGCTTCCAGGCACATTGAGAGCATGGCCTGCTAGTTTTCGGGAATTCGTTTCACAAGACTTCAAAATTGATGCTGACCATTAGTTTTACTGAAATGACCTGGCCTACCCGATGAGACTCAGCCAAACGTTTGCACCAGATCAATTTTAGGTACGCCGTACAAAGCATCGCCCATAACAACCAGTCAGCTTTGATTGTATACGTCTGGATGCATCAGCCATCCCCCAAATCTCTCTTAGGACTCCTTTGCCGACACTTGGTTCGAATGGGTTCTGGACCCTGGATTATGAAAGTGTTGTGGCAAAAGCTTTGTCAAGCTCTGTATATCCATAGCATCTTTACATTTAAGCTGCTTGTTCTGTTCAGAAATGTCTCTTGTCTGTTCGAATCTTGGCATTTCCCCTGTTTCTCAATGCCAATTAAGAGTTACGGCCAGAATACTTTAGGGAAACTTTTCATTTGTATCAGGCTCATTTTGTTTCCTGAAGACGGCATTCTGTAACTCGCACAAGCCGGAACGATCGCTGAAACTTTCGAAACGTTGTACAGGATAACTTCCTAAATAATATCCCTCACTATCTCTAAGTGATCATGCACTCTAAGCCAACAGCACGCTTGTGTCCATGTAGCTTGATGGAGATTGTTCAAAATGGCCATGCTTTCACCCTCAGTAAAGTGAAGGCAGGGAGTATTCTTGTTCTTCTGGAGTACCTTGTAAGTAACCACGTTAAATATATCTATGTCACGATCACTATTTCGTACTTGCGTTTGGGCGTGGAGAAACTGATCGTCTCCCAGAAAATAGTTAAAAATATGACTTCATGGCGTCGCCCACATCCACTGTGAGAAATCGGTAATGATATCACCCTGTGGGCGTTCTGTCCTGACTTGTGGGATATATAACGGAGTGTTTTAGTCCCTTGCTAGTAGCACTTAGTCGAACCCGGGGTGTAATTTTTGTAGTAGCACCAGGATTATATTATCTCACTGGGTGTTGGCATCTGTAGAAATTCGGCACGTTCCTACGAATGAGCACTGTGCCGTTAGTGCTGGAGTAACACCAGCATGTTTCTGTCACCATCGTTCTGTGTGGCGTTAATACTTTGTAGTGGGTGTCTAGGTATGTTTTAGCTCCTTCCTCTGTTTTGTGTACCCTGTCTAACCAGTAAGGTGTCTTACCTTGAATACACATATCGTTGCCTGAGACGTCAGTGAAGAGATGTTCTTTGTTCAGATCTACCATCAGCAGTTCAAAACAAATGATTGCGTTCTTGACATCTCGTAATCTACCTCTTAGTTACCTTACTTTGCAATAGAAGGACTTGATGGTCTGTTGCAACGTCTGACGTACCTCTAGAGCAGCATCTGTTTACCGGGTTGGGAAAAGATTGGGGTTTGAAGTCGGTTGATGTGCAGTAGGAATTGGTCGCTGCAAGCATTTTGGCTGCACGGTGTGCCACAGTGTCCTGTTTTGTGGATCGCCGATGGAGCTTGACTGACACTGTTGCGTACTCTATTTGACTTTACTGGTGCTGTTATAACGATTTAGGTCGTCCCACACAGCATGTAACGTATCTGGCGAGATTTTTCTTCGAGATGTACCGGAACCTAAGAGCGTCGGTTAGGACCTTATGGTTTCGGAAGTTTATAGCCATAAGACCAGGAGGGTAATAGTTAGTGCAGTAACTGGACAACACTGATTTTCACAGTAGTGAAACTCCTGAGCGTTGTAAGAGCTGATGCCACTGTTACATATCGTGTCCATGGGTTCATTCAGACTATCACACACCAGCTCGAGAACTGTGTAAGCCACCATGCTGGTTGATTTCTAGGTGTCTGTTGGTAATCTTCTACTGCTGACGGTTTGTCGTCCTTGATTCGGATTTCAGACAACTGTTTCTGAGATGTCAACAAGATTTTTCCTGTGACCTATAGTTGATGAAATGTGGCTGATAATGGAAGTGGTTTATCTTTAGACACATTTTTACCATTGGATATGTCCATAACTAACAAATCAAATGATTGTTTAAGCGCCCACCACGTCAATCTGGTCTGATGTGTCTGTAGACTATTCCTATTGAATATAATCTACCAAATGAAGGACATTAATTTCTTATTATATTGGTGTGACTCATGGTTCTTATTCATTGCGATAGGATACGCAATACTGGTTGGCATGTTTGTGCGTTTCACTTAGCGATTGTAATTCCTTTCATTACTGTGCCAATCTAATTGCTTTTATCCTTAGAAACAGATAAAGTTTAATTTCCAGTTGTCCTTGTTCTGACTATAGCTCTCACATAGACTCTGGGATCACCAATATCGCGTTTACAGCCCTAGTAGTATATCTGTAGAACAAAGTAAATCATACATTGGCCTCTGCTCTGACTCTTGCGTCTTCTTATTTAAGTTTCATTATGGCCTACGATGTTACGGACTTAGGAACGAAAAGGATTGAGCTTCTCTAATACTACTGGTTCTCTTTGGAACTGAAAATAGTCAATTGTGCTCAAAACATCAAACCTCGACGGCTAAGACAGGAAGAAGACGGAATTGTAGGTAACTTGATATTTGTGGTAGAACAAGCAACTCGAACGAAATTGTTGCAAAAGTTGTTACTGTAGTAGTAGAATATGACCGAGCACGTGACAATCGAGACTAGTCAGATGGGATTATGTCCAGTTCCCAGATTCTAGCTAAGATTTAACAGGAATGCTAACTATGGGAGAAAACATATCTTTTTCCAACTGGTAGAAGTAGTCTCTCTAGTCGCATTAAAGTACAGATTATTTGTACTATTTACAGTCTTATACTTCTATGGTGTAATTTCACTGTACGTGTTCTAGTCAGTATACTACGGTTAGCAAAAATCACTTGTTGAACGAATAGTTCGAGATTGATTCCGAAAATTTTATTGTAAAGGTATTGATGCTGGTACGGGACGTCTGTTAGCATGAGATAATAATTATATTTGTTATATAAGTGGAATAATGTAAACCAACTAAACAGTCGGGGAGACTCATTGTTATTTACTTTACAGTTGCCCAGTATTTTAGCGGATCCGAAGGGTCTGGGATTTTGAATAAGTAGAGTCTAAGTGAACACGTATCAAATTGATGAACTGTACAAATATACTTGATATATGAGCACTCTAAGTTTACGTTTACACTGCCACAATCTAACTAAGTCTCATGTTAGTAAATACTTTTATTCCACGGATATGTAGAATAATGTTATAAAGAGGAATTACACTGTGTACTTATTACTTCGGTAATAATAACCAACTAATTAATACAATTATAACTAAATTGTCACAATCAGTGTTTGCTTGCCACCTTCCAAGGAAATCTTACCAACTATTGTTTTATAATTTATAGCAAGAAAATATCTAGTCGCTAAACTATCGATGTGTTATAACCCAATTCACTTGATGCGCATAGCATTCACTGAAGCGATAAGTTTCAGCGAACTCTTGATCGCCTGTTTCATGTAAAAATACTGGTTTATAAACAGGTGTGCATCTAAATGACTGGTTGGTTTCCTAGCTTGCTTCTCCGTTTCACGATGGTGTGTAGATCAGAATAAGCCGTATAAAGTGTCTCACTTTGTTTTAATGAACATCAATGATTCTTCAACATTAAAGCTGTCTCTCATTTTCCGACGAAAACTTCTGCATATCGGGAAATATTGAAAATATGATTTCATTTTATAACCACGTTATATCGTGGTTTTTGTATCTGTGAATCCATCTATGCAACATTATTGAAAGTTTATAGGATTGCCTAGGAAATTAAGTTCTTTTGTTTCGCTTTAAGTTGCTTTAGAGTTTAGTTATTACATTAAGCTGTTTCCGTTCTTGTAAGAGAGTAGCTATGCCGTAGCGTTATTTCAAATTACACTATCATCGTGTTTTACTACTAGGTTACGTGTTGCTTCACTTACATACTTGTTAACTATAGGTTAGCAATATATTATTTAATGTAATCTCGTAAACACAAAATCGTTTAATAATTTTACACATCCTAACTTTATCCTTTCTTTTACCTCCATAAAGAATCATATGCAGAAATTTAATTATTGGCCACGTTATGTAGCACGCTTAATCAGGTTCCGTCCTGTTTATCGAAAAGAACTTTTAGGTTGGCGTTTTGAAACGGATCATATGTTTCAACGACCCAATAATCTACCAAATGAAGTATGTATTCATTTATTGTTGATGAAAATTTATTGAGTTAATTTTTAAGAATTAACATTGTACACTTCCATCATACTGCCTGGCTCAATGTGCTGGCGTTATTTTATTGTTGAGTTTTTATGGTACCGTTGCAGAACTCAATGTTTCAACATTACAATACATTGTGTCGTATATAGTATAGTTGAGTTCAACTAGTAGAAATCCCATGATTTACATTCAGTGCTACTTAATACTCGTTAACTGGAAACTTAATTGAAATTTTCCCTTATCGTTTATAACACAAAATTATGTTGTACAATGGTGCGCTGTAATTGCAAAGTAATCTACTAGTATTTGACCACAGGTGCCTTAGAAATATTGCTCGCATCTGCTGGGATCACCGGGTAAGTAATAGTGAGGTTAGACGCAGGGTATTAGGGAATGATGGTAAATCAGTTGATGAGGTTATGAATCTTCATCGACTGAGATGGTTGGGCCACGTGCTGCATATGCCTGAACACCGATCACCACGACGTGCAATGTTGACTAGTGTTGGGGGATGGTTGGAAGAAAGTTAGGGGTGGCCAAACCAAAACGTGACATCAGTGTTTGAAGACACTAACTTCTAGTCTGAGCCATGTTAGAAGATTCAGACTGCCTGGTTGGGGTCTGTGTGACTGTCGTAACCAATGGTTGGAGACTCTTGGTGACATGGCTCAGAATCGATCACAATGGCGTAGGTGTATACACTCTCTGTCTTCCTTTGAATTGTGAGATTAAAATCGCTTCATATCTTTCTTTCTAGGAACTAATTCTTTCTTCCTGTACTATCTCCTTATATGTAATCTTCTATATATTACCACCACTGAATTAACTACTTCTATGAATCCGGTGTTCATCTTGTTGTGTTTATGAATTATGGCAACTTGGATCGATGCATATACGTGCCTGGTCCTACATTGTAGCAGACTGATTATACTGTACACTAAACCTTTCATTACGTTATACCCATCCATGTGCACACGTATACATCAAAAAGTATTTCACATTTGACAGAGCAATAACATTATTATACTCATTTGTATGTATATTTAATGGAAGTTCGATATAACTTGTTCCCATCACTTTTTAGTGTTTTAGCTTTTTAAGATTGTTAATTCTGTGAAGCTGTTCCTACTAGGTAACTATATGCATAATACAAATCTGTACATATAATATACATATAATTACATGCTACTTGCTGATTGTAGAATTAAAAATACGTTTTATTCATTGTAAACAAACTACCCATTCTATTTAGACATATTAAGTCAGAAAATCCTGGTGGTCACTGCAAAGAATATCAAATTCGTTCATCCTAAAGACTTCTTTTACTGTTCATAAATGACAAGATAGAAATATACTATTGTATTGCTACTGGTTTCTTTTATGAACCACACCTGTTGATATCCGAAGTTACTTGTCTACACAATCTCTCAAACCTGTTTTGGAGCTCATTTTTATGCCAAAAATTAATTTAGTACGATTATTTCTCATCTTCCAGTCCCACACCATAAAATAAAGAAACACCTATGGCATCATGCATTAGATAGTAACTAATTAAGTGATTATAATCAATATTAAAAACACGAATTTCAGCTAAGGGATATCTTTTCAGCGATTTTATTATTAAGCTGTACAGTCGTCTTTGAATTTATAGGTATCATGCCAAGGTTGGGCTTGGTAATTTCAAATAAATTAAGGATTAGATAGGAGGTTAAAAGTAAATATCTTTTTCGTTATATTCCAATGAGTAGAAGAATTGTATTTCTGACATTTCGTGACTTAATGTAAGCCACTTCTTCGGAGTAAATAAAAAAGAAGTGGCTTACATTAAGTCACGAAATGTCAGAAATACAATTCTTCTACTCATTGGGATATAACAAAAATATGTTGACTTATTAATTCCAGTTTCTTTTATTAGTCTGTAGAGTTGTCTTGTGTTCCCTTTAGCCGCCGCCTTTTCCATCTCTTTTGCTTTCGTTGCCCACCACTGCTCACGATCATTCTTTAGACTTTTGCTTAATCTAGATCTGATTTCTTTACGCTCTTCATCGTATTCAGAACCTGATGGGATGAGTTTATGAGAATCTATCAGTGCAATAGACCTTGAAGAAATCCACTGGTTCTTTGTAACCCTGAGGTTTAAATCACTAATACATGTCACTGCTGTTTCCACAGCTGCTTGTATGTCTTTCCAATCAACATCGGGGTCAGCCTCGTTTTCAGAACTACCTAAGTGTGACCTCAGTTGTTCCTGGAACCTACTTTTGGTTTTCTCATTACTCAATTCGGTTCTGATGAGACTTTTTTGTGTGGCTTTTTTGCGTCCAGTGAGGCGCAAGCAGATGCGTGCTCGTATTAGGGCATGGCCGAAGTCCAAGCAGGTACTCCAGAATGAGCGACAATCTTCTACCGACCCTCTCCAACGATGACTGATGGCAATATGGTCTATTTGAGCCCATCGTTGGTTTGGTGCAGGGGGTCGCCATGTTAGACGATGTCTCTCCTTATGCTTAAAATTTGAAGAGGGAGGTTGATTATGAATACAGTCGTCTTGAGTGCTGTTAGAGGTATGGGGGCGGTTATCACTTCCCGGTCGCCCACACCGTGGAAGGGTTCTCCTGGAGATACCTGAAAAGGAAATTGGGTTAGAGGTTGTCACAGTGACCTGAGAGCGTGACCGCAGTGCTCAAGGGACAGCTGCTTGAGGTTGGTCACACATCACCTTTTTATGAGTAATTTTTGTGTTAGCTCCGTACTTGTTGAGACCTTACCGCCGGAGACGGATATCCGTGGAATAAGACGAGGTGTGCATTTTTAGGGTTGACCTTTTCTAACCCTACCCCTCCTTGTGGGAAGGCAGCATCGGTGTTATGATGGTTGTCTGAAGGAAACACCTTACTGCTGTCACACCTCTGTACATTCAGCAGTACGATTTCGCCTTCGGACCTTGGTTTTGTTGCTTTTAGTCTTACCGCTCTTCAACCGAACTGCCTGGCATGGTTGGACCATAAGGAACGGTTGTTCCAGCCAGTATAGCTCAGTTGCTTCATCAAGATAGGCAAGCCCGACCACCACGTCAAGGTAGCAACAACGGTCAGGGGTGCCTTCTTTTACCGATATCTATGTGTTAAAATAAATAAATAAATAAATTACTGCGGTCACGCTCTCAGGTCACTGTGACAACCTTTAACCCAATTTCCTTTTCAGGTATCTCCAGGAGAACCCTTCCACGGTGTGGGCGACCGGGAAGTGATAACCGCCCCCATACCTCTAACAGCACTCAAGACGACTGTATTCATAATCAACCTCCCTCTTCAATTCCTATTATTCCTCCTACATCGACTTTCAAACCTAAACTTCCTCCTTTGGTTTCCTCCTCAAGTATCACCACAGCCAACGATTCTAGTGCTCAAAACGCTGTCCCAGGTCAACTGAAACCTCGCTCCAAACTACACATTGGAGCCTTCAACGTACGCACACTATGCCAAATCGGTCAACAGGCTTCCTTGGCCAAAACCTTAGAATCTCGTACCATTGATGTATGCTGTGTCGTCGAAACACACATACAGGATCCTAATGTCACTTGACCTCACCTCGGCAAAACGGAGTGCCGACGAGATACACCCTCCGTGGATCTGGCGACCCGATGGCTAGTTCTCGTGGACTGGTCGGTGTAGGCATGGCACTAAGCATGAAAGCGGAACAAGCGCTATTAGAGTGCATCCCCGTAAACAGTCGTCTATGCGCTGTTCGGCTAAACGCCTCCGTAAGAACTCGAAAGGATAGAGACACACGTCGTTGCCTTTTCGTCGTTTCTGTCTACGCTCCCACTGACTGCAGTTCGGATGAAGTGAAAGATGAATTTTACAGAAAGCTGTCTGAACTTCTTCAGAAAGCTAAACGTTCCGACATAGTACTCGTAGCAGGCGACTTTAATGCCCAGATAGGTAGCTTAAACGAAACAGAAAGACATTTAGGTGGGTATTTTAGTATTCCGGCACAGCGAACGGATAATGGTGATCGTCTGCTGCGACTGTGTTCAGACAATCGTTTATTTTTAGCAAACACAAATTTTAAGCATAAGGAGAGACATCGTCTAACATGGCGACCCCCTGCACCAAACCAACGATGGGCTCAAATAGACCATATTGCCATCAGTCATCGTTGGAGAGGGTCGGTAGAAGATTGTCGCTCATTCTGGAGTACCTGCTTGGACTTCGGCCATGCCCTAATACGAGCACGCATCTGCTTGCGCCTCACTGGACGCAAAAAAGCCACACAAAAAAGTCTCATCAGAACCGAATTGAGTAATGAGAAAACCAAAAGTAGGTTCCAGGAACAACTGAGGTCACACTTAGGTAGTTCTGAAAACGAGGCTGACCCCGATGTTGATTGGAAAGACATACAAGCAGCTGTGGAAACAGCAGTGACATGTATTAGTGATTTAAACCTCAGGGTTACAAAGAACCAGTGGATTTCTTCAAGGTCTATTGCACTGATAGATTCTCGTAAACTCATCCCATCAGGTTCTGAATACGATGAAGAGCGTAAAGAAATCAGATCTAGATTAAGCAAAAGTCTAAAGAATGATCGTGAGCAGTGGTGGGCAACGAAAGCAAAAGAGATGGAAAAGGCGGCGGCTAAAGGGAACACAAGACAACTCTACAGACTAATAAAAGAAACTGGAATTAATAAGTCAAGTGTAAGTCAGACAATTTCGGAAAAAGACGACACTCTCATCTGCTCCCAGTCCAGACGCTTAGAACGATGGGCGGAACACTTTAAGGAGCAGTTTAGCTGGCCTTCAGCTACTCTACAACTACCATCTATTCTCAGACAGTATGAATGGAACATTGAAGTAGGTCATCCAGCTCTAGCTGAAGTTCAAAAGGCTATAGCTAATCTGGAATGAGATAGGGCATCTGGTCCAGACTTATTGGCCCCAGACGTCTTCAAGGATGGTGGTCTAGTTTTAGCGATTAGGTTGACTAATATTTTAGCTAAAATCTGGGAGTTAGACGTTATCCCATCTAACTGGTCACAATCACTTATCGTCCCAATATTTAAGAAAGGGTCAAAATCATCCTGTGACAACCATAGAAGGATTAGTTTGACCAATATATTATCTAAAATACTAGCATCGATGATTATCGGACGCCTAACTAAGACTCGTGAACTGCAAACACGAGAGAATCGAGCTGGCTTCAGACCTGGTCGTGGCTGCATCGACCACATATTCACCATTCGTCAGATTCTAGAACACAGGCATACTTATCGGCGTCCGACAATTGTGGTATTCCTTGACTTAAAAGCAGCTTTTGACTCTGTAGATCGAGAGGTTCTGTGGCAGTGTCTGTCATTGAAAGGAGTACCTCAGAAGTACACAACCCTTGTGAAGGCTCTTTACTCGAACACTACTAGTCGAGCCAGAGCTTATGTCTAACTGTCATCTGCTTTTGCAACCTCAAGTGGGGTCCGTCAAGGCTGTCCACTTTCTCCTTTTTTTGCTTAACTTTATCATAGATCTGCTGATGGAAATAACGCTCTCATCGACTGAATTATCGGGTATTGATCTCCTACCAGGAGGTCCACTTATTGACTTAGAATACGCAGATGACATAGTCCTGTTTGGTGAAGACGCTGATGAAATGCAGAGTCTTTTGGTAGCACTGAGCAACAATGCCAGAATGTTTGGGATGCGCTTCTCTCCCTCCAAATGCAAGTTGTTGCTTCAGGACTGGTCTTCGTCAACACCTGAACTAAGGATAGGGGGTGAAGTAGTCGAACGCGTTGACAACTTCACTTATTTTGGAAGTCTGATCAGCCCTAATGGGTTGGTGTCTGACGAAATCTCAGCACGGATTGGAAAAGCTCGTTTGGCCTTTGCCAACTTACGTCATCTATGGCGAAGGCGAGATATCCGTCTATCAATTAAGGGATGAGTTTACTGCGCGGCAGTTCGTTCCGTTCTACTATACGGCTGCGAAACATGGCCTTTAAGAGTAGAAGATATTCGTAAGTTACTAGTATTTGACCACAGGTGCCTTAGAAATATTTCTCGCATCTGCTGGGATCATCGGGTAAGTAATAGTGAGGTTAGACGCAGGGTATTAGGGAATGATGGTAAATCAGTTGATGAGGTTATGAATCTTCATCGACTGAGATGGTTGGGCCACGTGCTGCGTATGCCTGAACACCGATCACCACGACGTGCAATGTTGACTAGTGTTGGGGGATGGTTGGAAGAAAGTTAGGGGCGGCCAAACCAAAACGTGGCATCAGTGCTTGAAGTCACTTACTTCTGGTCTGAGACATGTTGGTAGATGCAGACTGCCTGGTTGGGGTCCGCGTGACTGTCGTAACCAATGGTTGGAGACTCTTGGTGACATGGCTCAGAATCGATCACAATGGCGTAGGTGTATACACTCTCTGTCTTCCTTTGAATTGTGAGATTAAAATCGCTTCATATCTTTCTTTCTAGGAACTAATTCTTTCTTCCTGTACTATGTCCTTATATGCAATCTTATGTATTACTTCTATGAATCCGGTGTTCATCTTGTTGTGCTAATGCGGTATGGCAACTTGGACCGATGCATATTTGTGTCTGGTCCTACGTTGCAGCTGACTGATTGACTGACTATGTTAACTGTGAGTACCGACCTTGTTCATTTATTTGTATATTGTATAACCGTACATTCTATTTCTCTATAATGTTATCATTTTATTTGTGTGATGCATTTTTTTAATGCTCTGTTGCATCAGAATTTACACTTATAATCCAGAAAGGGTTTAGTGTATCCTATTTCAGTTCCTATGTACCACCGTCGTGTTCTTAGCTAGTTTCCTATCACTTACGGTCTCAACTAATAGATCATTGATATGTTGATCCTAGTAGTGAAATGTGCCAATTAAGGAGTCGTGGACTATTTTTAACTCTCCTTTTTGGAGTGAATACTTTTTACAGACTAAATAATTTTATTCTGACTCTTCACTCTGAAGGTGTATTCGAATTACTTTTAGAAAAGAGAGGAGAAATTTCTCCCGGTTTGGCATTTTTCTGAGAAACCCCCTTGGAACATTGCTAACCGCCTGTCCGAATTCCCGTATCCGGATACAACTTGGTGCGTTATTCATCCGAACGGTCGCAAAGAGGCACGAAAATTGCAACCTATGCCACCTGAAGACCAATTGATTTTTAAAGGTGATCGTGTTCAAATACTTTGTGGCCCGGATAAAGGAAAAGTAAGTTTCTCTCTGTTACTGTTAACTTCACTCAAAAAAATAAAATGTTGTTTGGATTGCTACTTATGATTTAAAGAAACAGGTGCGTGTAAAATCTGTTAATCGTAAGCCACAGACGTCTTCTGACAACAGGATTCTTATTAACTGGATGTTAGAAGTTGACTAAGACTCAAAACTTATATTTTTAGCATCCAATATATGTCCCTAATTTACTCCCGGAATATTTTTTACGTTATGCTCAAGAATGAAAACAACCTAATTATTTATAGCTTTCTTCAAATTTTGGTTGGAATGCATCTAAAGGCAAAAGAATTGATATTCATTATGATATAGAATCATGTTTATTTTCTTCAACCCTCACTCGTATTAGTCCTATTGAAATTCATTTTTTATCCAAGATACTTTGACGGTAATAAAATATTTCACATGGAAGGCACATTTTTGCCGCCAGTCTTTTATCTCTTTTAGTAAACCTATGATATTGCTGTTAAATCTTTAAATTGATATTTAAGAAGTATACTTGTTGATCGACCTTTACACGTTGATTATTGAACGCTTTTAACATTGTAAACTGAAGTTTTAGTTTTAAAAATCTTTGTTGTACAAAACCGAACTGTTCTACTTTTGGTAATGTTGATATTTTTTTCAGTATGTTTACAATTCGCTAGTTATGTTATTTGAAGGATAAAATTTGGATTTTTCTCCCGATAAAATGGAATCAGATTGGTGGAGACACTAAGTACTGAAGTTCACTACATCTATCACGTCGAAATTATTTGAATGCCAGTATCGTGGTTTGATCTATTTGTTAATTGGCAGTTATATATTGGCTTATGTATGAAAGAGTACCTGATTAGTGAGAAACATAGTATGTTTCAAAACTCTGTTTCTGAAACTAACTTAAATTTCTTTACGTGCTGTTCACATTGAACGTACCATCACTGAAAGTTGTGTAGCTCAGAAAACTAACAGGATTTGGTTGATATGACAAATATTCTTTCTTTGAAAAACTCAGCTGTGTCGTTTGTATTAGCATTAATGAAACTCAGTGATTCGGTACTGTGACGACGGACCACGGGGGAACTCGTGGAAGCTATAAGAGGCTCAGAAGGAGCCGAAGATATTCCATCCAATCACCGTTAGGAAGGATATTCTAGAATCCCTACGTGTAGCTTCCCGATTGGACAAGGCTAATAACCCCCTGTATGCGGATTGGAGGACTATAATGATGATTTTTGTTCCTACTAAAACTATAAATACCTGACAATTTGTACCCATAATGGACACTGTTTGGAATAACATTCCTTTCACTAGTCTTCTGTCTTCTCTTTGCGACTTGGAAGGATTTGGGCGTTCGTGTGTTCAGTTGTACTCGTTATATCAAGTAAATCAACCATTTCTAGATATAACAGGTACTATATTGGACATCATTTTCATGAATACCTTGCTTATTTTCTGTTATTATAATTCCTCTCTATATTGATTCTTTGGTCTTATAATATTGTTGTAAACATATCTTTGTAACACGACTTTTTCTCTATAATAAATAAAGACATTAACAATTTTATCCAGACTACCTGAAAATTTATCGCATTCATCATTGGTTCACTTGATTAGATTTAACTTTAAGAAGTTGTCATTTTTGTTTTATGATCAATTCACATCTACTTCTTGACGTTCTGGATTTACATTAATTAACTTTCGTTTGATCACATTTTAAAACATTCAGTGATTTTTTATACTGAAATTTATCGGTGTTAGAAATTAGTAATTCTGTAATATTTAAGCGCTGCTTTGAGCTATGTAGTTTTGTTTCAATGAATTGTGGTGTTTTCATCATTATTAAGCTATAATGATGGGGCAGAATAAGTATAGCTTAGTGGAATCTAGTCAGTATTATCTTTGTTTATTAAAGCTGTTTTTAACAGAAAATATATTGGAAAAACTCGTTCGAGAAGAAGGAACTCAAGAACGGTACAGTAGATTAATGTTGTAATGATTTATTGAGTTTTAATTTCGTGGATTCCAGTCAGTAGTCTAGCACTCATTTCTATCCCATTGTCAATCAGGTTGTGTTTCTAAATGAACAGTTATTATTCTATTGTTCTTGTAACTTTTCTTTAACAAACTGAAATCCTATTTAATTGTTGTTTTATGTCATCTTATGTTCACATTATCTCCATTCTTTTTCAGATTGGTATTGTTTCTTCAGTCTTAAAAATCAGACGCTTGGTCTATGTGGATGGACTTAATTATCGTTTAACAGCTTCTAATAAATATGATTCCTTAAAAAGAAGCGAGGATCCGTTAGATATTGATACCCAGGTGACTCTCGTTTTGTTGATGTATTTATCCTTTGATTTATTTATATGAACACATAAACATTGGTACAAGGGGGCATCGAATAAATATGCGCCACACAATAACAATGAGGTTGGGAAGAGATAGAGAATGTAAAGCGCGTATAATAAAAAACAACAAAAACGAACAGAAATTTGAGTATCAGAGGGAAATAATAATAATAATAATAATAATAATAATAATAATTATTATTATTATTATTATTATTATTATTATTATTATGCGAAAAACTGTCCAGTTAGCAAAAATATAATCACAAAAAATTCTTGCAGTTAAAGAAGTTACGTCCATTTTTTTAAAAGAATGTAGAAGTAAGTTATAGAAGGATCATCATTGGCTTCTATTTTGAGCCATATCTGATAACGTCTCTAGCCACTGTGTTGCACCATCTCTAGGACCCCAGCCAGGGAGTCGTGAAGGACCAACAGAGGCCAGTCCTCTGCAGCTTTCATACCACGACACCATGTCCTACACTGACCACCTCTCCGCATTTTCTAACCAGTCCAAGAGTCGGCAAATAATGCACAACGTGGAACACTCTGGGATGACATTCGTAGAACATGTCCAAGCCGCGGAAGTCGGTGTTTCAAGATGGTGAAATCAAATGAATTATTGTCGCTGTGCCCGAACACACGATGCCGAACATCTGCATTACTAACATGGTACTACTACTGAATGTCAGCAGTCCTTCGGAGACAGCGATGACAATCGTAGTGTTTCTTGACATAAGGGCTGCCTTCAATTCGTTGGACAGGACTGTTCTCTGGAATTGTCTATTGAAGAAGGGTGTGCCTGAGAAGTTTATTAACATCCTAAAGTCCCTATATACAAACACCTTAGGCAGAGTGAGGGCATACAACCACCTCTCTCCATTGTTCCATTCAAGCAGTGGAGTTAGGCAGGGTTGTCCAATCTCACCATTCCTCTTCAACTTTGCCATCGATGACATTCTGGAAACAGCTCTGATGGATGTAAGTAATGGTGGTGTGGATCTGTTGCCTGGAGAAAGACTTCTTGACCTTGAGTATGCGGATGATAATGTCTTACTGTGCAATAATGCCCAAGCCATGCAATCCACACTTAATCAGTTGGCAATTAGTGTCCGTAGGTATGGTATGTGCTTTGCACCTTCGAAGTGTAAAGTACTTCTACAAGAGTGGCAGGACCTTGAACATGCACTAACACTCATTAGCGAGTTCATGTATCTGGATAGCTGCATAAGTGCTGGTGGTGGCGTGAGTGATGAGACCAATGCACGTATAGTGAAAGCCAGAGTGGCTTATGCCAATCTGGGTCAGCTTTGGCGCCGTCGCGATGTTAGTCTGGCTGTAAAAGGTAGGATCTACAACGCATCGGTGAGAGCAGTTTTGCTCTACGCTTGTGAAACCTGGCCTCTCCGAGTTGAGGATGTTAGACGACTCTCTATATCCGGTCATCGCTGTCTCCGAAGGACTGCTGACATTCAGTAGTAGCACCATGTTAGTAATGCAGATGTTCGGCATCGTGTGTTCGGGCACAGCGACGATAATTCATTTGATTTCACCATCTTGAAACACCGACTTCCGCGGCTTGGACATGTTCTACGAATGTCATCCCAGAGTGTTCCACGTTGTGCATTATTTGCCGACTCTTGGACTGGTTAGAAAATGCGGAGAGGTGGTCAGTGTAGGACATGGTGTCGTGGTATGAAAGAAAGCTGCAGAGGACTGGCCTCTGTTGGTCCTTCACGACTCCCTGGCTGGGGTCCTAGAGATGGTGCAACACAGTGGCTAGAGACGTTATCAGATATGGCTCAAAATAGAAGCCAGTAGCGATCCTGCTGTAACCTTCCTTCACTTTCTTCATAAAAAGTAGTTGCTTCTTCCTTAACTGAAAGATTTCTACCGACTGTACCTTTCTGTTTCCCCCATTATTATTATTATTATTATTATTATTATTATTATTATTATTATTATTATTATTATTATTATTATTACACTACTTTACACTAATCTGTTCGATATTGTTCTTTTTTTTACACTCCTTACCTTTTTTCTCTTCAAATGCTCATTGTTTTGTGTGGCGCATATATATTTGGTGCCCTCTTGTACCAATATTTATGTGTTCATTTAAAATAAATAAATAAATAGTCCAGTGAAATTGCTCCTCGAAAAACTGTATCCATCGTCCAAGACGTCAGTGGATGATTGGCACTCCATCATCTTCACAGATTGGTTCACTCACACCAGACTTCTTGATATCAGTGACTCAGATGAGTTGAAAAAGCTTTCGGTAGTTACCGGAAGCAGCTGCTGTTTCCAGCTCATTAGCACTCTGTGAACATTAGGCTTCTCTGTCCTTACGCAATTTTTCCACATTTTCACTACGTAACAATCTTTCATTGTCAAATTCGCGGTCACTTGGAGTAGACCGACGTGTTTCGACCAGTTGTAACGAGCCTGTTCAAACCCATTGCTTATGTAGGACGCTTTGCAAAGTCGTAAGCGACTTTACTCACCACTTTTATTGCATCATGCAGCTGCAGTCAATGCTTATCTAAACTTTTCGGCGAGCTATAGCTAGCCTAGGATCTACCTCTGTTTGATATTTAGTTGCAACAGATGCTGTAACCAATTAGCTGACATCCATTAACTTAGGATGATGGATTTGTTGGCCGCTGCAAAGTAAGATATAATTAGGTTTGTCTTATTCAATTAAATATTCTTTGCATTCTCCGCATAGTCTGTTTTCATTATTAACCTTTTTAATTAACTTTAGGTTGCTCTTGTGGATCCATCAAATAATGAACCTTGCAAGTGCTCCTGGCGGTACACTGAAGAGGGAAATCGGGTCCGTGTTTCCCTACAGACAGGTCATGTAATTCCTCTACCAGCTGCAGCCAGATGTTTAGATGACTTGACCGATCCTAAAACAGCTGTTGTCGGTTCAAAAGATACTTGTGAACCAGTTGTTTGTAATGTATCCCTCAATTCTCTCACTTCGACATCAGATGTCAATTTCGAAAAGAGTTTGCTCAAGGATTTAAAGTTAAAGAACAATTGTCTTAAGCAAACTCCTACATATTGGTATTGATTTCCGTCAATTAAAGACCATGTTTTCTGAAAATAACTTAAAGTTTAGTCTGTCCATCTATCCAATTTTCACCTTCTTTTAAAGAGCTTTCATTTAATTTATCTGGTTTCTAATAAGTTTAGCGGAATTTTTCATTTTTATTTGGGAATCCGAAGTTGTATCTCCTTTATACTATATAACTGAAGCGTAACTTAGAAAATATCAGACACTATTAGATAGAATACTAAGTGGGCTTCATCAGTACTTGACATATACTGTTATTAAATCCACTCAATCACCAATCGCTTATGTAAACGGCCAACTATTGAATAGTCACTTATAGATTTTACCACTGACGCAAAACCGTACGAGCAGTCTAGAGTCTTTTCAGTCTATTTCTCCTTGTCGAGTCCTGAACACCAATCTAAGACTCTGCCATGTGAATCATGTGTTTCCCACATATTGGGTTTATATACAAACCCAACAGACTACATCACACCACTATAAATATATGCACAACTGATGAAGAAAGCAATCGTTAACAGTCAGTGGAAACACGAGTAGGAATAAGACCAACTGATGAGTTATAACCAGCAGTTTGAATTATGCTTGCATTTCATGTTTACACGTCTGTGTAACCCCAAGCTAATAACTCCATGCATTTTTGAGCTAATTTGCAAGAAAATATTCCTGGATGAATTTCTGGGCAAATTAAAAAAAAACAATAGAGCATTTTCCGTCACTTGTGTAGGGAAATTGCAGGACTGAGCACACTCGCAAAACTTTTGGTCGTTAAGAATATGTCGCTCAGTCAGCAGTGAACTTTATACATTTAGAGCTTACTATAACAGCTCCAATCTTCGCTTTACATAATTATAATGATACAATACTGCACTCCGTATGCAAGTAATAGCTTTGCTTTAGTGTATAACTAGTACGTCAGGCAAATTAGTCTTTCCACATCGACTTCCTAATTTTATGAAAATAAGTCGATTATTTATGTTTCGAAACGTGTATGTATGAAGATTTTGAAACTTGATGGACTGTCAGTCATCGAAGTTTTACAGATGAATGAAAAGCTTAAAAAACCGATTTCACAATTAGACAATTTGACTGTGTATAAGAAGTAATGGAAAGACCATTCTGTTATAGAACAAACAGTAGTTACTGTTGTATTTTGCAGCGTTAAACAGATCCCAAAAATCAATAGCTCTGTAAGTTTTCGCCATTTGATACCGACCGCATTAGTTTTGATGGACTCACCTGAAAGCGCTCGGTCAAACATTCGATCTGTGCTCCACTTTTTCAACAACCACTAATCAGCATATATCAGTCACTTCTCGATATATTGATAGCTTATCAAATATGCCTTCAAACCACTCTGCTTCTGATTTCACTGAGTTGGCACGTTTCGACTATAGGTGTTAATGTTTAAGGTGTTGACATTATGTTATTATTTATTCAACTGATTCCAACTGGCATTTAAAAACTTAGAATTTGTACATTGATGAGAAGTTCTCAAAAGCTTGTGATGGGGCTGTTGTTAGGTGGTGTCTTACAGTGAAGTGGCTGGTTTCATACCTCATTGATTCCGCCGACTTTTGTCAGATCTTCCAAAGTCATTGCAAATTGATATTGGGTGCTTTGACAGTTTACAACTTAAATTTTTGGATACCTTCATCTAACATCACATAGAATTGAAAAATATCTGCCTAAAACTTCTGAAATTAGGGAGTGCAAATCAAAATAACTTTATTTACGACTTACTGTCTAAGACGTCTGACCAGTAGCTATGGACCATCTCAGACTATCTTTTGGACCTGTACCGCGTTAAACTAATTGCTGTTGGTGTCTTTTGGTCGAAAAAAACCATCCGATTTCGACTTGATGTCTACAGATTTCACAATGGAACTACGAGAAATTCAGGCTCAAGTTTTATGTATCCCGATGTTCATCAACATTTTTAGTGTCGAACTAGTGGCTATCATTTTGGACAAACATGCTAGTTGCATTATTACACACGTAGTAGGACAACGGGACAGTAGGTTGTGGCAAGAGTGACGTGAGATTTCTTATAGATGATAGCTACTTAATAGGTGATATCAACTTCGTGTGCAACTGAGAGATCGATTAATTGCAGGAATTAACATACCGGGTTTGGGAAGAGAGCTGTTAAGAATGCCGAACTGTTCCTTTCAAGATGCTAGAATTGTATGTATTAACTATGAGGCAATGAATGAACTTGATATCCAGTCGATGAAGTCTTTGCTTAGTTGCTATGATGAGATACAATCTCAGGGTCAATCAAACTTGCGTTGGTTTAACAGTGATTCCTGTTCTCCTGTAGATATGAAAGGTGTTTCAACAAGGAATTACAAAGCAAATCACAAAGTTGAGACCAAGTTTGGTAAATGTTTATTATGTGGAAAACAGGACTGTCAATACTGAGTTTAAGGGATCTGAAAAGGCTTAGAGTGGAGTTGTCTTTCCTAGTTTGTAAAGAAAATTATGATGCTTTACTTAATGATTTGACATCTACGTGTACCAAGTGCAGTGGAGGTATCAAGATTCAGCTTATAAAACTTCATATACAGGGTGATCCAGTCGTTCTTAAAAGACGAATAATTCCTTATGGTCTTCGAGAAGCAGTACATACGACATTAAAAGATTTGTGTGTGAAAGGCATAATTTAACCGATCCAGTCATCAGCATGGGGTACTCCTATTGTTACTGCATTGAAGTCGGACGGCAAGACCCCTAGAATATGTGGTGACTAAGGATTAACACTGAACTCCCATTTGTTGAAGCAAACATGCTCGACGGTAGAGGCTGAAGATATTCTAAATCAACTTTATGGTTCTAAAGTGTTATAGAATGTTGACCTAAAAGATGTTTATCTCCAAATACCTTCAGATCAATCTTCGTCTATTTTAACAACAATTAATACTCATTTTGGTCTGTTCAAATACAATTTCCCTCCACTTGGTCTAAGTTGTTCTCCAGCTATATTTCAGTAAACTATGAATAATGTAGTTAGTGATCTTGGGGGTGTCGAACTTTATCATTGTTCATGGTTCTGATAAAGTAGTTCTTAACCAGAGACTTATTGCTTTATTGCGTCGTTTAATTGAGAAGAATATTACAGTGAATCCAAATAAGTGTTCATTTTGTGTATCTAATTTCAAATGTCTTGGATACCTAGTTGATGGTAATGGTTTTAGACCAGATATGAAACGACTAGCTCCACTGACAAATGCACAGTCTCCAAAAATCTTACGGAACCACGTTCACTAGTGGGTGCTCTTCAATACTATTCCCGTTTTATTCCTAATTTTTCTTGTCGTGCAAATTGTTTATTTAATATTTTGACATCCAATTCATTCAAATGGGGTGGGGAACAAGATTCAGGCTTACGTAGTCTACTAAAGTTTCTTCAAAGTGATGCTGTTCCTCGAAATTACTCCCGTGGTGTACATTCTGTGCTTATTACGGATGCATCACCTGTGGGTGTTTGCGCAGTTCTGGAGCAGGAAGTTTGACAAGTTATTTGTGTTTCACGCAAACTTACTGTTACTGAACAAGGTTATTCACAGACTCAGCGAGAAGCATTAGCTGTGTTTTGGGCTGTTAAAAGACTTCATAAATATTTATTCGGAAAGAAATTCACTATTGCTACTGTTCATAAAGCTTTAAATTTTATTTATCATCCTGAAAAATCTTTAGCAGTTTCCTCAGCTGCTATGGTTCAACGATGGAGTATTGCTTTGAGTGCCTATGACTATACGATTCAGCACAGAAGTGCCAAACAAATTCAACATGTTGACTACATTTCTCGACAATCATTACAAGATAGACCTGTTAATACTTCAGACTGTTTGTTAGTGCAACCTTTACCAGTGAAACGTCCAGATCTCTTGAGAGAAACTCGTAGATGCTTTGGATTTATACTCACTGCTATAAGGAAAGGCTGGAATACTAATCTGAAACGTAGATTTTCTGCACATTTTTCAATGCGGGATGAGCTATCTTCTACTCCTGATGGTATTTTGTGTTGAAATGATCGTGTTGTTATTCCTCCTTTATTGCGTAACTTTGTCCTTGAAGATTTTCATAGTGGACATTTAGGTGTTGAGAAAATGAAGTCATTGGCGAGGCTCACGTGTTGGTGGCCAGAGACAAATGCAGATATATGTAGTACAGCAAACAATTGTGAAAAGTGTCATAAGCTGAAAAATCAGCATTCGAAGTGGACTCCATGGCCAGTATCGTCTGAGGCCTGGCAGGGAATTCATGCAGACTATTGTGGTTTGTTTCCTGACAAATACTATACACTTGTAGTCAGTGATTCTTTTTCAAAGTAGCCCGAAGTTTTTTACAGCTTCATCAAATTCTGACTTCATGGTTCAAGAATTAAGAAATGTGTTTAGTCGGGTAGGGGTTCCCATGGTGGTAGTGGCTGATAATGGCTCTCATTTTGCTGCAGATGCAGTCACTACCTGGTTAAATGGTATAGGGTGAAAGCATCTATTTACTGTTCCCAGACATCCTTGTTCCAATGGTCAGGCAGAAAATTTTGCCACGACATTGAAAACTGCTATGGATTCTATTGCCATCTCAACATTTAATGAGATGGAGAGGGAAGTAGATAATTTTCTACTATAATACAGAAATGCCAGACACTCTGTGACGAAAGAGACTCTATCAAAGCTATTAAAAGGGTTCTTCGGTCGAATATGAGATGTTTGGAGTCTGCAGAAGTTACATATTATCGTGGCAATGATCTTCGACCATCCACGGGGATTGTGCTGAAGAATGTCGGGAAATCTATGGTGCGACTTCTAGATATCAATGACTTAAAAACACACAATCGACATGTTAATCAAATACAATTTCAGGAACCAGGTGA